ATGTTTCTTATTTTTAATTGTGTTTTCATTAATAACTATTTATTTAAATGTGATACTTAAAGAAATGCAAAAATAAGTACGTTGTTTTTAGAATGAAGGATTCTAGTGCTTATATCTTCAACTTTTGCGCTTTTTATTGTTTATTACTACACAAAATTACTACTATTAACAGTATTTGCACTTTGAAAAATTGAACAATCGTTTTTTTTAAGATAAACAACTTTCTGATATTTTTCTCAAACTTAATCTTAAATACGGTTTGCAGATCGTCTTAAGGCATCTAAAGTTATTAACGGCTAATTCATACACTATAGTCACCCACGATACATTTTTTTTTTATGTTTTCGTGGAAGACGGGAAATCTCCAAAAGACACCTAGCCGTCCGTACGACTGGGTAGTGTCGGATTCCCGAGGAAGAAGTCCAAAGACTAAAACCCCTCTACCTCAGGCCGTTCTAGGACCAATTAAGGTCATTTGCTAAGAAGCCGTTGGACTCATACTTGCTCCAGAGGATCATAAGTGGTGACTAATCGTGGGTTTGTGGTTATGACGTGGAAATCAAAGCTCAATCATCCCGATGGAAGCTGCCGCACGAGTCAAGACCGAAAAAAGCGCGCCAGGTTAAGTAGAACGTGATGGTGTTGCTTACAGTTTTCTTCAATTCCAGAGGCGTGGTGCATCATAAGTTCTTACCACAGGGTAGATAGGTCAATAAGGAATATTATCTGCAAATTATGCCCAATTTGCGCGAAGCAATCCGTCGGAAACGCCCGGATTTGTGGAAGAAGAAAAATTGGCTTTTGCACCATGATAACGTTCCTTCTCATACGTTTTGACCAAAAGCAACACACTAATAATGCCGCAGCCACCGTATTCCCCAGATCTGGCCTCCTGTGACTTTTTACTGTTCCCGGAACTGAAGAGGCCCATGAAAGAACGACGCTGCCCTACTATTGAGAAGATAAAGACGGGATCGAAGGTGGAGCCGAACAAGATTACAAAAACATTCGCGATACTTTTCGAACAGACCTCGTACATTACTTAATTAAGAAACCTAAGTGAGTTACATTTTTACGAATATTGTGCAACTATTTAAACTTTTATAATATAGCCCTGATGATGTATCACAACTGAGGGCGAAACGTTGTGGTTTGAAAAAACCTATTTACCCTTACATGGTTTGACTTTTTTACAATGATGTTGGAGAAAAAGTGGAAACTATTGGTACTTACCTATAATATATGTATAAATATAGATATGTGGCAACATTGTTAGGATGCACTGCGCTTCGTATCTAAAGAATTTAATTCAGTAATTATGAACACAATTTTACCTTCATTCGCTTATTTTAACATGATTTTATATAATTTGTACATTAAGGGGTTGCAAAGCATCTCCGTTATTTCCAAAAANTTTTAAAAACGTAGTTTACTAGATCATGACCTACCAACCGTATATGTGATTTTATCATAATAATAATAATTATAAGAACAAGAGTACAAGAGGATGGAAACATAATAAAATTTTTAATGTCTAATATTTGTTTATAATGGTATCTAATAAGTTATTAGTTATTTACCAACAAGGGTATAAATAATATAGCAACGTAGGCGTACTACTATAGATTTACAATCTTCTTTCCGGAATTCAATGGGGGTTAAGGGTCCATGAGTCTTCCCCCATGAATTAAAAATGTTCCAAGCATTAGAACGTGAAAATGTATAATCTATAATTATAGGTGACTAAATAATTACTGGTTGACAAAATTGAAAAATAAAAAAAAAGGCCGGACAGAATGACTGTTGTGCCGGTACACTGATAAGTATTTTTTTTTGACAAATGAATTTAGTATAGTAGTCTTTATCATAATCAATATGACTGACTAGATTGCAAATTTAAAGTATACAGGGTGTTTCGTTTATTTATTAGTGAGACACCCTGTATATCTACATACATTTTAAATTTTGTGACAGCCAAGTCAAATCTTGAACTTTAATTGCATCCCAAGTGACATAAATGCAGTGTGTAAATAATTGTCTGTAAGTTTGGATGTAGGAGGTAATCTTGGAAACAACTTTTTCGATTTTAAAAATTCTTCCATCCATATTTAAAATGTTCCTTCAGAATGGACATAGGCTATATATTATTCCTTTAAAGTGGCATTTCTTAGTAACGTTAATATTGTAGCGACCGCGAGCGTGATTGTGTGCGATCGGGCATACGTGTGTGTGAGCGGCTTATCGATTCGCCGACTAGCCGCGGGCGCCTTTCTTCATGTGCGCCATATCTGTAAACATGTGTGTCGTATCTACGTTCCGGGATAGCAATTAAACCGTTCAAAGTAAACGAGACTTCTCTGGAAGGCTGAAGAACGTTCCCGAAAGGAGGCAAGGGAGTATAAAAAGGAAGAGACGATCGCCGAAGTAGAGTAGAAATAAATTGACCGTTGCAGAGGTGAATCAAGAGATAAATTGAAAGTGATAGAAGTGAAATAAATAGAACAGTGAATAGGAACAGTAGGGTAAATAAATAGAATAATTACCTAAGTTTAGTAATAAGTTAATAGTGTTTGTAAGTCTTTCAATAATAATTAGTGTAAATAAATAGTTCTCTTCTTAAAAGCTAACTTGTTAAACCCACGAACATTACAATATGAATGCTTTCTGATGCAAAAAAAGTGTAATTAAAAAGTCCTGTAAAAGACTCCATGCCAACATATAATAATAATTCACATTTTTTTTTATTATTATCTAAGTAGGCTTGTTTGATATTTAACACCATTGATTTTGAACTAAATTACTCACGCAGTCGTTATTTTCAAATTAATCATTTACGAGATATGATATGAAAAGTTATTTAATTTTATTTTGAAATTATGTATTGCATTTAACAAAATTTTCCTGTGATCAATTTTGTAGATTATGATTTGAATTTTATCCGTACACTCGTGATAATGCAATGCCTTCATAGTTCAACCTACATCTAAAATAAAATTTTCCAAAGTTTTATTTCTGGACTTAGTAGTAGTATAAAGTATAACATACAACATTATGTCGCAGCCATTATAAATAATTTATTACTCTCAATTCATTGCTGGTTTCAAAAATGATTACTTAACGATTACAGCCTGCGATTTAAAAATAAAACTGTTTTTTCAATTTTGTCACCACTGGTTTGGTTAGTTTATGGTGTGGCATAAAAATTACTTTTTTTATTAGTACCTAAATCGTATTTAATATGCACCACACACATGTGCTGTCCAATTAGGAACTAAAACTATTCATTTATACATACTGTTATAGTCCATACTTATATTCTATATAGTGTAGTTAAGATATGTTTTCTCTTATTTTAAGTAAATATTTTAAAACGTTCAAACTTTACGTTTTTGGTGCAATAAAAAGAAGAGCGTACTTGAAACCGACCTTCGCAGGTACCTATCGGTCCGTCCGAGTGCCTGCTTTTCCAAGAAAACTAGGAATAAGACCCTTCAGGAACGATGCACGAGTGCACGACGCCTTTTGAACACTTTCTTTTTGAATCTTGTCTAGTTCAATTCTTCTATATCTTTTCCATTTCAAAATATTCATTTAGCATAAGTTTAAATCGTAAATTCATTTAGATATAAGTTATACTTCGTTTAGTTTCTGTAGCGATGTGACCTTCAGTTTAACCGGCGCAAAGTAGAAAAGAACAGCACTAGACCAGAAAAGGAAGGAGACAACTCTCGGCCAAACTCTTAAGCGGTGAGGAGCGTATAATCCGTACAGTACTGCACGGAAAAATTGACCATTTTATCCACTACAATTGCATTGCTTAAATGTGCTGTTATTGGTACCATTTACTACTGAAAATATCAACGAGGTGTTTATTTATATTGGAAAACATATTAAAGGCTTTAAAGTTTGTTTTCGATTCGCACTACTATTCATGATTGAACTTTTGGCAGGTACTGTATGAAAATGTATGTTTAATGAGCAAGAGTCCAAAGTATGAGATTTTTTCTCCCTACCTATGATTTTGCCAGCGCGCATCCAAGACATTGGAAGGGGCGCACATCGCTAGAGAAAGTAAATGAAGTATATATTAGAATATTAGAAAATAAATGCACATAATATATGCTTGAAGGCCTTCACGGCCAGAGTCTATACGATGAAGATTTTCCAGGCTAACGAGCCGTGCTCTTGTGGCATTTTTATTTCTTCCAGACGCTCCTCAATTACAGAGACGAAACTAGGAAGCAACCACCACCGTCTCCATTGAAAATGTTCGACGCAGTTTCGAACGAAACGTCAGGAAGAAATAAAAATTCCACTAGACCACGGCTCGTTAGTCCAGAAAATCTTCATCGTATAAGTGCACATATTTTTAATGAAAGTATTTAGTAAAAGTGGGTCTTTTTTTCAACGAGAAGTGGTAGATGTACAGGGAAACCATAACATAATTCCTCAGTTATATAGGAATACAACAATACATATAAACCATTAAACCACCCTAACGATTCACCTCGTACATAGTTGTTTAACTGTTTTCAGGAACGCCTAGGAGGAATTGAAAGTAAAGCTATAGTTCATTTACTTTCTCTATCGATGTGCCCCTTCCAATGTCTTGGATGTGCGCTGGTAAAATCGTAGGTAGGGAGAAAAAAGCTTATTATACTCTCGACTCATGTTCATTAAACATACTTTTTCATACAGTACCTATCAAAAGTTTTGTTAGTAGTGCGAGTCTTCAAATATAAATAAACATCTCGATGATATTTTCAGTAGTAAATGGTACCAATAACAGCACATTTGAGCAATGCAATTATAGTGGATAAAATGGTCAATTTTTCCGTGCAGTATTGTACGGATTATACGCTCCTCACCGGTTAAGAGTTTGACCGAGAGTTTCCTTTCTTTTCTGGCCTAGTGTTGTTCTTTTCTACTTTGCGCCGGTCAAACTAAAGGTCGCATCGCTACAGGAACTAAACGAAGTATATTTATTAGTATTGGCTGCAATACGTGCATGGTATCTATTGCTGTTTTTACTTCTTTCTGAAGAATAAATATGTATGTGTACATACATATGTACAGAACAATAAGATACAGAGTGGCTGTAAATAATTGTGGAAAAAAATACCTTACATGTGCTGACGAAAATATACATATATATAACGAGAAGATGGTAACAGCTGAGCCACAACTTGAGTCGTGAGACCAAAGCAGTTGTTACGGTATGGTATTAAGCAAGTTATCGTCTGCAATGGCCCCCCTACCTGCCTACGTATACGACATATGACCTTAATGTAAAAGGTGTTCGTTGAAGGAGGTAATCGTCGTTTATCCCACGAGCGAGTATGTAATGCGTTACAACGGTAGCCTAAAAGATAGACAAAAACAATACTACATTACTTAGTGTATGACGAACAACCGCATAAAAACGGGACGGTATTATTTTAAACTATGGATAATTATTTGTAAACTTAATTTGTGCTTTATATATACACAACAACATCGATTTACAGTGTCAACTTACTGCACAGTTATACTCAGTAACTTAATGATTCTAAAAAAACACGCCCTGAAATAGTTGCTGCGATGATAATATTCGACATAATTGGGGTTGGAGTTGTACTGTACGCAATTAGTTTTCTTATTTTGCTGTGTTTTGTTAATTGTGATCTTCGTCTGGCGTTCTATGAAAAATTAGGAAGATCCTTGGGTAAGCATCTATAACTGTTTATATGTATTTTCTTAAAGTAATTCCAGTTTCTTCACGATTCGTGAATTAAAATTTTATTAAATTCTTATCACCTGAGAATTTGCTCGTCATACGACTACTTCATTAAACTAAATATGTAAATATTTGAACATCAGTGTAAGTAATGTTTGATTACAATCCTTGGTTGCCACAGAAACGACTGATACTAAAGTACAAAAACGTTTAATAATAAAACGACAATAAACAGATTACGACATGGAAATATTACGGAAAAGTTGGATTTTCGTATGAACCAGTATGGTTTCAAATGTAATTCCAAAAATTCTCATCGGTGCATGTACTGCTTTAAATGTTCCGCAGGGTCAATCAAAGATCATTACACAAACTGTTTTTACAAAAATCTGTTAACGGCTACTTTTATTTTGCAGCTTAGTATAACTTTAGACTCAAGAAAACTTGATTTACATATTTAGATCATTTCTTTTCAAATTGTTAACACGACCAAAACTTCGTGAGTAGCTTCGTTTTAACGTAACCTGCAACTGTTTTATCTAAAAAAACTGTAGCAAATATGCCGTATTGAATCTCGAAACCAGAAAAAACGTCAATTTAATGATGTAGCAGTAAAACTCAATAGTCATCCATTTGTTTTTTACTAATATTCACGCAATTTGTAAATAAATGTTACCACAATCAAATGGTCATATTGACCTAACATTTTCATGGACAGTTTTTGCAGACCTAAGCCTTAAACATATCAAATTCACGTATGCCAACTGTTTTATTTTGCAAGTCCACTCCTTTCCACACTTTCTTTGAAGTAGAGCACAAGATGCGTCTTTTTATGTTGTGTCCTCTTACAAAGTTCATGGCTTAGCAATGAATGTAGATGATCCTCTAGACTGGGGATGGACGTTGTAGGATAAAATTTTGGAACCAGTAAAGCTTTTCTTCCACTCGTTCCTGATAATCTATACTAAACAATATTTTTGCAATTACTCAAAGGATGTACCTTAAACTTGTTCCCCAGTTTTTCGCTCACCAGGATTACTTAAATGTAGGGATTCAGGATATCTTTAATGACGATCGCAGTTTTTCTGAGCAGCCGTTTAGCCATGAGAGAGTCACGAAGATGAACGTCAAAAAACTTGAAACTTAAAAAAGCGAGAATTACGACGACTCCAATACAATACGCCAACGGGGAAACTATATTTCGCATGCTTACGTGATCCCCTTGCATGGGTCATCAGTTAAAGAGCACATAGTTTTCCTGCACGTAAGGAGTGGTTAGAAGCATTCGAAATGTGGTGTTACGGGCGAATGATGAGGTGGATAGCGAAGGTTAGAAATGAAGAGGTATTTGAAAGGATAAGGGAACAGGGGCTCTGTCTGGAAGTCCATAAGAAATAGGCGAGATAGATTGGTAGGATACATTCTCAGGCATGAAGGGCTAGTCAAAGACATATTACAGGCAGAAACAGGAGCTAAGAGGAGTAGAGGTAGACCTAAATTAGATTACTGTTCGCAAATATCTAAGGACTTGGGATGTTGTGGTTTTAGGGAAATGCAAAGATTAGCTCAGGATAGGAATGAGTGGAGGTGCTTGTCCAACCAGTCTTAGGACAGACGACCTATGATGATGGAGTGGTTGTGATAATACATCGGTCATTTTCAAACAAGGCAAGACTAAATTCTTTAAAACCTTTATGAGCAACCCAAGTCTCGCCAGCGTTTTACAAGTCTTTACAGACTGCTGCTAGGTAACGTTTTCTTTTATTCCTTTGTATTCCTGTAGGGCTACAATGGGTGTGTCTATGCTCGACTACCTCAGGTACATTTCCTACAGTAAGGCAACTTTCAGATGAGTTTCTTTACCAACATCTGCAGTGGCAGCTCGTTAGTATTCTCAGATTCTACCACCCGGACCAGTAATAGGTAGGGGTAAGAAAAGACACGAAATCAAGTCTTGAGCCTATTGCCACACTCCTAACCCCTTCTCCTCCTGCGTTCTTAAAGTTAGTGTCCTGCAAGTACATAAAGAACTGTCAGTTGAATTGTGGGTGCACCGAGCGGCATGGCCTAGAGATTTAGACCATTGCTTAGCGTTCGGGAGGACGCCGGTTCGATTCCGGGTCCGCCTGCCTTGATCCNGTTATTGAATTTGAACAGCCTTTGAACCGGATCTACAGGGTTTGTCCGGAAAGTAATAGGACTGATTTCCTTCCGCCGCGACTGTACTTCGGAGCGTGCGCGGACTGACTGGATTCGGTGGAGGGCATTCCTAGCTAACGAACGAGCGGCTGGTGGGTTGTCTACATGCACCTGGAGAGTCAGAAGAGGCTTTTTCGCGCGACGTGTTTCTGTGAGTGGTGCAAGCCCATTAAATTCTGTGTGAAACTCGGTAAATCTGCGACAGAGACGTTTGATATGATCAAGCAGGCTTATCCAGATGTTGCTTTAGCATGAAGTGGTGTGTTTCGGTGGCACCAGGCCCTTTCAGAGGGCCGGGAAGAGGTCGCCGATGGAGACCGTGTTGGAAAACCTTCGACTTCGATAAACACCGACAATGTAACTCGTGTGCGCGAAGTTTTTAACTCAGACCGTCGACTAATTATTCGTTTAATTGCCTAGATATTAAATTTACCATAATATGTGGTTCATGCACTTGAACATGCGCAGATGGTCCCAAAAGTGCTCACTGACGACCAGAAATTGCGGCGAGTGGAAATGTGCCAAGAAAATTTAAACATGTGTGAATGTGACCCCCAATTTTTGAATAACGTAATCACAGGTGACGAGTCATGGATCTTTGAGTATGATTCCGAGACAAAGAGGCAATCTTCCGAGTGGCACACGCCGGCGTCTCCTCGCCCAACAAAGGGAAGAATGGGCAAATCCAAAGTGAAAACGATGCTCATTGTGTTTTTTGACACGAAAAGCATCGCCCACCATGAATTTGTTCCTCCTGGACAAACCGTCAACGCCAAGTTTTACGTGGAAGTGCTCAAGAGACTCAAGCGAAGGGTCAATCGGATCCGACAACCACGACAACGCTCTGGCTCACACCGCCTTTCTTGTGGACAGCTACCTGACCAAGGCCGGCATTCCAACGCTTCCACAGCCTCCCTACAGCCCAGTTGTGGCCTCCCGGAATTTTTTTTGTTTGCTCGCCTGAAAAGGCCGATGAAAGGCAAGCATTTTGAGACGAGAGAGGGGATCCAAGCAGGATGCACCGCGGCTCTTCCGGAGAATGCCTTCCGTGACGTCTTCAATTCTTGGAAATCGCGCTGGCAGCGCTGCATCGAAGCAGAAGGAGCCTATTTTGAATGTTTTTAAAGAATTGTAACGATTGGCTCAATAAATTTTTTTATATCGACTCAGTCCTATTACTTTCCGGACAAACCCTGTATAGATGGGCGACTTGACGGGTTTTGAATTTACATGCCTGAAATATAAATACATGCCACTAAAGTATGACCAACATTTAGTACTTTCTAATATCCAACTCGATCAATTTTCTAATTGTCCATGGTACCTATACCTCCTCATTTAACCTATATCCACAGTATCCGTTAATCATTAACCACATTATGAACACTTTTAACTTTTTTCCGCCGCATCTACCGTTCACGTTTCGCACCCGTACATATCTCTAGTGCTCTTTTTATTCTGAATGGATTTTGTTTTATTTTCATATGATGTTGTGTAATACTCAATATTTTCATTATGCCCTTAAAATTTGATATTATTAGCTATTTTATTTTTCGACATATCATCATCAGTTCAGTTCAGTTTCAGTTTTTTTATTTAAATCTAACATAAATAACAATAAATTATTCCTGATTAATTACTGCTTTTTGGATGTATTAATACTGTATCTTTTATTCCTTGTAATCTATCAATTGAGCAAAAAAAGAAATTGGTCTTATTGCAAAATATATGATCGCCAGGGGGACGTCCATGTGATGCTAGCCTAGGGCGCTCTCAGCATTTAGTCCGTCTCTGTCCTTACTGCTTATTTTTGCAAACAAACTTTGAATCTTGTCATAAAAAGGTATAGAAAAATGATTGATAGTAAGAATTATTATTTTGCCTTTTGTTCTTATTTAGTTTTATCTAAAAATTGGAAAAAAGTTCATTTTTACAGGTTTTTTGCAGAAAAAAAACTCAGACTGCTATTCTCCAGCCCAAAATCTTATATAGTAACAAAAATGAGAACAACACCAAAAGTTTCTTTTTTTAAAACAGAATTTGTCTAAAAATGTATCTTGTGTTCTACCCCGAAAGTGCGAAGGTGGTGTAAAAAGCAACACATCACATAAAATTTGAAACTTAAACGTTACAGCTTTTTGAATCGAAGTTTCTAAAAAACCATCTTACGAAAAAAATTATGCTGTGTTCTTTGTAGTAGTCAACTTCCTATGTCACAAAACGAAAAGTGACTGTTAAAAAGATTTTCGCGAACAGTCGTTTATATCATGATCTTTGACCTCGCGTAACATCCCAAGCAAGAAATATATCGATGATAATTTTTGGGATAACGTTTAGAACAACAAAAGGAGAAAATACGAAAATCCACCTTTGAATGTTTCAAAATTCCCCGGGAATTTCCCGCTCTCGCCTTCAGTTCGGGTGACAATTCACTCCCGCGAGGAAATGCCATACTTTCTTCCCATGATACGTAAGATAGTATTATTATTTGATCACACCGAAAAATATTACTGTTCAACAATTAAACATAAAGGACTAAAGGACATACCTACTTTTATGTGTTTTCTACGAAAAACCGATTTTGCACATAGCGTTTCATAATTTTTCATTGAATTATTCTCCAGGGGTATTCAGGGTCCGTGTAAGTACTTATTTTATAGAAAACTTGTACGTCTCTTTACATTCAGATCGAATTGTTTTTTTATTAATGGATCTATTTGATTTGATTTATTTCCCTGAATTTCGTACATAAAAGTACAATACAATATGGTATTATATAGCTATAAATATTGTTTAAGGTCGTATGCGAGGAAATGTGGTATTTATTGTCGGTGCATCGTCCGGGATAGGGGAGCATACAGCTATAATACTCGCTAAAAATGGAGTCAAACTAGTACTTGCAGCTAGAAGACTAAATGAGTTAGAACGAGTAAAAGCCCTTTGTCTGAGTAAGTGTAATCCATAATATTACATTATTTATGTCATAAACAACCGTAAACATTACAGTAAAATAACTTNAATCCATAATATTACATTATTTATGTCATAAACAACCGTAAACATTGCAGTAAAATAACTTTTAAAAAAGTTGACTACATAGAATCAATATTTGTTTTAATTTTGTTATTAATATTTATAAAAAAATTACATGAAATAAACTCTTTTTTTATGTATGAGGGCCTAACAAAGAAAACGTTGGTGTGGTATCAATAAATAAAAACTTTCGCCCCATTGGCTCTGATTCTTTAGTTTTTATTTATTTCTCAACTTAACCTCCAAAAACGCTAATACGTTTTTCGTATCAGTGAAGTGAAGACTTTTTTCTTCGCAAGATAAGGTCGTTGTTTTATTTATTTCATGGCTCAAACGCTGCAATAAATTTGCGTAGTACTCACCAGTGATGCTTTCACCCTTCTTCAGATAAACAATCAATAAAAATGATTCCTTTTGAACCCCAGAAAACACTCGCCATAATCTTGTTAGCTGACAAAATTGATTTTGTCTTTTTTGGAGAGGGTTCACCTGGTACAATCCACTGTTTTGACCGTAATTTGCTTTCAGGAGTTAAGTGGTGGATCCAAGCCTCATCGTTAGTTGTAAAACGTCTCAAAAATTCATCGGGATTTTCTCACTTGAAACAATTTTCCGTTTTAACATTTGGTCAGGTGTCAGCAAACGCGACACCTATCACGCACAAACATTGCTAAAGCCCAAAATATTATCTACACGTCCTTTTGATATCTGAACAGTGTTTGCTATCTCAAACAATTTCAATCTGGTATCTCACATGACGATTTGATGGATTTTTTCAATCATTTCAAGAGTTGTGTCTTCCATAGGACGTCCGGAGCGAAACTCATTACTTGTGCCCGTACGCCCCATTTTAAACTCTGATACCCATTTTTTTATCATGGGAGATGATGGGACAGTATGTTATCCATTTCCCCCTTGATTTGTTTTGGCGTTAACATCTTTAAATGGAAACCGCCCGTTTCTCCAAATCTTCCATTTTCGTGAGAACTCCAAAATTGTCTTGATTAAAATGGTGTCAATTAAACACTCATCAAGCTACAGACCCGAAAGGACAAATATAAACTATAGCCTGTAAAATTGAAAGTATCCCTTGAAATTTTAAAACCATCTTGTAATAGCAAACTTATTAATTTCAAAACTACCATTGAGGTTTTTTCAAGGTGCGTTACCTTTTTATGGATGGTTCGCCAATAGCCCTGTCCCCCCGTCGCAAGACAGACACACGAACGTGCACTACAAAAATTTTATCTGAATCGCGCAAAAACGTGTGTTATTTAGCGTACTTCATTTGCAGCGATCATTGGCTTTTGATATACGCGCTGTTTTATACAACGAATTCAGATCAGGACTATGCGCTGATCATCGTCAATCACACTTAATCTAATCTAACAAATAAAAAACAATGCATGAGTACAAAAATACAAAAGAAATGCAACACGAATGCTGCTAAGTAGCAGCTGATTGAATGCGACGTTGCAGTGTCGTAATTCCCTGCGTGATTCTACCAGGGTCAGATTGGCCTTTGCCTGTGCTTTCAAATATATTTTCTCGAAAATCGTGGATTTTTGGTTCAACTTTGGAACGATCTTTTAAATGCACTACTTTTGGTATCTACCCATGTAATGCTTTAATAAAAAAAGACAATTATTTTCAAAACGATTTCAAAAAGGTTTTTTTTATATTTTTTATTTAATGTGATACTAATTGTAATCCATAATAGGTACTTTTTTCGCATTTTAGATAGTTCTGAAGGTAAATTAACAACAAACGACATTCTCGTTATTCAAATGGACATTCTGGACATATACTCCCACAAGAAATATTTCGATCAAGCACTAAGACATTTTGGCCATATTGACATTTTATTTAATAACGTAGGCCGAGGTCAAAGGGCAGTATTTGAAATAATCGAAGCTAGTGTGGACAAGCAAATTTTTGACTTGAATGTATTCTCTACTGTCCACTTATCACGTGTAGCAGTAAATTACTTCATTAATCGTGGAGTTGGTCACATTGCTGTAACATCAAGTTTAGCAAGCATTATGGGGGGTCCCTTTGCCAGTTCTGCAACAGCTTCAAAGGCAGCCCTTAATGTAAGTACTAATGAAAATTAACGCTCTTTTAGAATCGGACATCCAATATTTACTCCAACTGCAGCAGTAAAAGTTTTTCCGCTTAATTATTATTTAAATAATTATGCAAAACCAGAACCTTAACACTTGATCAATTTGGCACATATGCATCATTAGTTCATGTAAACAATAGAAATTATAGTTACCAACTCTTTGGCTTTAGTCGGGAAATTCCAGAAAAATTAAGTTTTCTCCAGACTGCAGTTTATAAAAGATAATCTCCGGATTTTTCAATTTTTATAAAACTGCCAGACGTAAATCGCGATTAATTTAATCTTGTCGGATCTCTTCATCACGTCGCAGACAGTTTCGATGGAACACACTATAAGTTCAGAATTATTTTTAAAGCAACGGATTAAGAAAATTATACGTTTTCGAAACTTTTCTACTCAATAATGTGTTTAATCGGATAATCCTTACCGTACCTATGGTTCAATCTCGCACACTAACTATTTTATGGACTTCATACAAGGCGGCCTTTATGACAGTTTTATTTAAAGATATTGGTTTTGCTAAACATATAATACAGATAGGGAAGGGGTTTCCAATTTGGAAAACTACTAGTGCTGTTGATAATATCAATAAAGCTCATCACATTTTTTAATAATCTGTAATAATATTGAGTAGCTATCAATTTTTTGGATATAAGCTCTAATAATTTTTAAAAGAAAATTCTTGTACTTAGTTATTAAAAAGTAAAATACAAATACAATAAACAGAAAGTGTCTAACATGAAAAGTAATTTTATTATTTTCTCTTTAAAAGATTCACCCTTTTAGAACAGATCTATTTTTCAATATAAAGTTTATTATTACGATTATTATTAGCAAAAATTCAGTGTGTCTTTGCAATATTTCTTATGATGCTAATACTGCGCCGATAATACATACCTAGTTTCATTAGGGTCCAATTAGTTGTGAAATGATAATAATTTAATTTCAGTATAAGATTAGTGAACATGTAATTTTTTAAGGATGTTTGGGAGGTATGTCAAAATGCTACGAGACAAATAAAAATTTGGAAGAACGTTCCTCATTCAATTCTAAAACTCCTGTAAAAATTACAAATCGATTCACTAAACCGTTAAAAAGTTANTCTCTTCTGTCTTCATTTCGTCCGTCTCATCTTTCTCACCCGAACCACCACCCACCCATTCCCACGATTCCTGAAAGCAGACTGAAGAGGGCCTTCCGCCCTACCTTCCGGCGTAGTCCGGAGGGACTGCCCGTCCACCAGCATTACTGGCTGGTGGGAATGAAACACCCAAAAGTTTTTTTATTTTATTGTGGATGCAGGAAGGTAGGGCTCTGCTGCTCGAGTTTGTCCCTCAACTGTGAGAAAATCCACAGCAACATTGCAGTGGTTGATGAAAACGAAGTCGAAGAAGACGTGGAGCTGCAGGCTGACTTTCTCTACTCGTTATACCAGAGGATGAGGTCGACGAAATGTTTAAAGTAATTTTATTAATTACTATTATAGAAACCTAATTTTATTCAATATTGGTGTAGTCACTCTGTGTGTAGTCGTAGTAAGAGATGACTATCAAAGTTGTGGTTCTGAGAAGAACCGATTTATAATATCGTTGGACACATTATCTGTGTAATTGATGATTGGCACAAAATCACAGCTTCCAAGGGTTGACGCTTTATCAGCGTTCGAATAATAGCGAGCCTGGTGTTAGACTAATTTATTCGAATATTTACAGGGTATTTATACAAATTTATTTACATAGTTTAAATGGCAAAGAACATTTCAGCACTTTACATTTGTGTATGTATTTGCCGTTGACCTAGTTAGTCGCAGTGTGTCGCGACCTAACTAAGTCAGCACAAATGTAGAGGTTTAATTGATACACAACAATAAATGTTTTCTTGCTATACCGAGTGTTCTCACATTGGAATTAATGCCCCTCCACTAATTCCTTGCATCTAATCTTCCTTCTACATTTAGATGAGCTTCAACCAGGACCTTCAAAAGAATGAAGTGATTTTACATGGTATTTTTTTCTTTGTTTTCGTAGAAGAGGGAAAATCTTCAAAAGACACCCAAGCGTTCGTACGACTGGGTAGTGTCGGACTCCCGAGGAAGGTGTCTAAAACTCCTTTACCTCAGACCGTTATAGCACCTATCGATTCAGGTCCTCTTCAGCCGTCTTCATTAATTTCCTGTGTATTCGTTTTCAATATGTGAAATCAGCCAAGTCGTTATGTTTTTTTTATAATAATTACTATTCAGAAATAGTTACAATATAATAATGATGTAAAGGCAGAAACAGGAGTTAGGAGGGGTAGAGGTAGACCTAGATTAGATTACTGTTCGCAAATATTTAAGGGAAATGCGAAGTTTAGCTCAGGATAGGAAAGAGTGGAGGTACGTGTCCAACCAGTCTTAGGACTGATGACCTTATGATGATGATGAATAATGACGTTTTCATCACCGGGCCTCATGTCCTAGAGGTCATGGATCTAGAGGTTTACACCATTGCTTAGCTTTCTGGAGGACACGATTCAATGGGCTTTTGCGTAGAAATCAATATTTTCATTATGCCCTTAACATTTGATTTTAGTGGCTATTTTAATTTTTGAAATATAACAGATTGGCATTAATCGCAAACACAGTGCGGCGGCTAATGACGTCACCGTACGCAACTCTGGACTCGAATAATAGTAATGTATCTTACAAAGTTCATNCCAGTGTGTAGTCGTAGTAAGAGGTGACTATCGAAGTTGTGGTTCTGAGAACCGATTTATAATATCGTTGGATACATTATTTGTATCATTGATGATTGGCACAAAATCACAGCTTCCAAGGGTTGACGCTTCACCAGCGTTCGAATAATAGCGAGCCTAGTGTTAAACTAATTTTATTCGAATATTTACAGAGTATTAATACAAAATTTATTTACATAGTTTAAATGGCAAAGAACATTTCAGCACCTTACATTTGTGTATGTATTTGCCGTTGACCTAGTTAGTCGCAGTGTGTCGCGACCTAACTAAGTCAGCACAAATGTAGAGGTTTAATTGATACACAACAATAAATGTTTTCTTGCTATACCGAGTGTTCTCACATTGGAATTAATGCCCCTCCACTAATTCCTTGCATCTAATCTTCCTTCTACATTTAGATGAGCTTCAACCAGGACCTTCAAAAGAATGAAGTGATTTTACATGGTATTTTTTTCTTTGTTTTCGTAGAAGAGGGAAAATCTTCAAAAGACACCCAAGCGTTCGTACGACTGGGTAGTGTCGGACTCCCGAGGAAGGTGTCTAAAACCCCTTTACCTCAGACCGTTATAGCACCTATCGATTCAGGTCCTCTTCAGCCGTCCTTATTAATTTCCTGTGTATCCGTTTTCAATATGTGAATTCAGCCAAATCGTTATGTTTTTTTTATAATAATTACTATTTAGAAATAGTTACAATATAATAATGATGTAGAGGCAGAAACAGGAGTTAGGAGGGGTAGAAGTAGACCTAGATTAGATTACTGTTCGCAAATAGTTAAGGGAAATGCGAAGTTTAGCTCAGGATAGGAAAGAGTGGAGGTACGTGTCCAACCAGTCTTAGGATTGATAACTTTATGATGATAATGAATAATGACGTTTTCATCATCGGGCCTCATGTCCTAGAGGTCATGGATCTAGAGGTTTAGACCATTGCTTAGCTTTCTGGAGGACACGATTCAACGGGCTTTTGCGTAGAAATCAATATTTTCATTATGCCCTTAACATTTGATTTTAGTGGCTATTTTAATTTTTGAAATATAACAGATTGGCATTAATCGCAAACACAGTGCGGCGGCTAATGACGTCACTGTACGCAACTCTGGACTCGGAGATATAGATACCGTGACCGCTACCAACCGTTCAGATAAAACGTGGTAATCAGAAGTATTTAACTAACGATAAAGTTGTTTTTATTAACATATCACAAGTTGATACATTTAAAATTATGGACTATTTTAATACTAATCTAATCCTAAAACAATCGAAATTACTTTCTTAAATAAAGACAAAGATTAGGTACCTATGTCGAAAGACAAAACAAAATTAAAAGGCTCAAAAGCAAAAATTGCAACTGTGCTATCGTAGTATGTATTGTCTAATACAGCTTTTTAAAAAAAAAAAAAAAAAAAA